GATCATGGTTCCTAGGTAAATCTGCTCAAGTAATAAATCATGCTAAAATTTTCTTTAATCAAAAGTCCCCCTTTTTTAGCTAATGACACACCTATCCCATGGTTTTCTTTGGTAAAAACTTATCCTGCCGCAAAAGATAAGGCAAATACCCACCATTCCTTCCCTCCCAGCCCTCTTTCTTCACATCCACAGCCAAAAAGAAAGAAACAGCAGATGGTTCCAGCAATGAAGGTCTCTGCTTTCCAACTCAGTCCTCGTCTCCACATCTCGAACCCCCATGGCCATCAAAGTCAACCACTAAAGCTTCTCGCACCAACTTTAAAGCTCAAGCCATCGGTAATAAGAATCACCACAGTCCGTACTCTTCCCTCGTTTAAGAAACTGCTCTATTTCAATTCTCATGAGAAGATCGCAAAAATGAAGTTTTTTGAGAAGGATTCATCGATTGAACTCCAAAGATTGCTTCTTTTTGGTGGTTTCTCCTTCGCTTTTGCTATTCTTCTTCTAGGGTTTGATGGGCAGCAGGAAGCCATGGCTTTTGGACCGGAGGGGCCTCTGGTTGAGGAGTTTTGGGATAATGTGAGGAGATATGGCATTTACTTCTTGACAGTGAGCACAGGAGCAATATACACTATTCTGCAGCCAATTTTTGAGCTTTTGAAGAATCCTGTCACTGCAATTTTGATTATTGTTCTGGTTGTGGGAAGTTTTTATCTTCTGTCTCAGGTGCTGAGTGCCATGGTAGGAGTTTCAGAGTTTAGTTATCAATATGCATATTGAATACTTATTATTAAAACTATCTGGGTTGCAATGAATTATCCTGTTGGGCTTTTGTTTCCTTTTCTTCAATTCTTCGAAGGGTTGCTTGTTTGGATGGATTTAAAATGCATGTAAGTTGGGATTAAGAGTCAGATAAGTAGGGCATTAACATACATACCAAACAATTCTTATGTATTTACATGTCAAAAACCTAAGCATTCACAGTTGAATGCAAAATAATTTCATCATTATCGCTTTTCAAAAGTGAACTACAC